AGGATGAGGAGGGTCAAGGTATGGGAAGGGGACGATGATTGGAGCTGGGAGAGGGAGGTGGAGGGGCATTTTGGGAATTTGAGCCCGGTTATGAGGGGGAGTTTTAAGGGTCCGGAGCCGGGGGCGGAGGTGGATTATCATCAGGGGAAGAGGTTGGGGGAGAGGGTGGATGATTTGAGGGATGAGGAGGCGAGGGGGAATTTTAGGGTTGTGGTGGTTGTGCCGGAGGAGGTTGATAGGGTTGATTTGAGGGAGGATGTGAGGCCGAGGAGGTGGTTGTATACTCATCGGGGGAAGGAGGGGGAGAGAGAAGGGGCGAAGTATGCTGGGGGGAAGGTGGAGGGGGAGTGGGAGGTTGTTGAGTTGTGGCCGTGAGGGGATATCTTACACGAGAGCTGGGAAGAGGGATGTGATGGAAGGAAAGGGGTTCTGAGAGTTTGTTGTGTGCGTATTTCCTGTTTTGCGGCACTTTACGTGGCTTGGACGTCTAGAGATGCCTCTCGGCTCTTGATAGCATCAGCATCTGCGGTCCAACCCACCAACAAGTCCAGATGCCACAATCCCGCGGCGCAAAGAATATGATCAAACCATTGACATGATACCTCGATCAACCTGATATAAAGTAACCTGTCCCATCTCGGCGTGGAGTGTGATGTAGGTAGGTCGATCTAGAACTGCCGACGTTTTGTGGGGCTAACATTGGCCCCTCTTGTGGCGTTGGCAGAACCATCTCGATGCCGATATGTAGGAACTATCACACTAGTTCCCACAAGCCCTCTTGGGCGTTTCAAAAGCTGATAGTTTGAACAACGCGTTGCCCAATATTTCCTATTGTGGCGCTCATGGTGTGTTGGGTGATGTGAGATAACAGTTTAGAAGTGTAAGAACTTGCGGAAGAGAAAGACACCGCCGCTATCTCGTTGGCCTTGTTCTGTGGAATGATGTGAGAGAGGCGGTTGCCCAATGCCTTATCGCCGCTGGACGGGTGAGAGTGGGAGGATTGCATCATGCCGGCTCGGGCTTGATACTTGTGTATGTGGGAGAGCATAGTCTGTCTAATTCCGCACCGATCATTCAATGCCGACGCCAGCCGTTTTCCGGTGTGAGAATGCCGTCGCCGGATGGGATACCCGTTTTTTTTCTTCATGGTGAAATTTAGAAACTTAACCACCACGACCACCACCAAACATGTCAGACACAGAGTTACACACACACATTGGGTATGCTTGTATCCCTGGCACCCTAGGTAAGGTACCTTCCCCACTTGGGACTTATGGCCGCTTGGCTGCCAGCTGTTTCATGAAGATAACAGAGCTGCTGCGGGCAGGGTTGTGTGTGCGTGGTGGGTGTATGGGGGGTGGAGATGGCTTTTATTTTATTTTGGGTTGTGGTTGACATTGCTTGGCACACAGCAGCAGGCGAGAGGAGAGGGAGGGGAGGGAGGATGCGCATTGATCACACGGCTTTGGCGATATTGAACTTCTGCCTTGGGTATGTACAACAGTAAATGTGCGTATGATGAGTGCCCAACGTGGACTTCCGCCGTTGACATGAGACTGTCTGCTGTTGTTGACGCGCCGCTGAGGTCTGGTGTAGTGAAACAGGGTTGATGGCGTAAGGTTAGCCCAACGGTTGGCGGCCCGTGTCAGGGTCTCTCGAGGGGGGCCAGGAAGCGATCATGCTCTCGGTGGCTTGCGACCGGCAAACGGCGATCGGAGTTGGAGGTGGAGCTGGTGCAGCCAGCCGTCGAGCCGAAGAGGCCACGGGACTAACGGTGAACGGTGACTCCACTGTCTGTGTTGTTGACCGCTGCGATATTGACAAGAGACAGAGACAGAGACAGAGAGACAGATATCAAAGCCGATAGCCAGCCTCCAAATCCGATATCCGTGTGTGTGTGTGTGTGTGTGTGCGTGTGAGCGCGAAACCGACAGCCTGGTGCCAGAAACGGCACAGTCGAGCTCAATGCTACGGCAAATCTGCTCAGCAGCAACAGGTATCTGCCCCTCACTTTGGGGAACAAGGTGATTGACGCGATCAAGAGAAATGTGCTTGGTATTTCTGCCCATTGGAGCATTCCTTAACCACCTGCTATCCCTGGGAAGGCTCGCTTGATTAAACATCAAGAGCTTAACGCAATTCGGACCACGGGAGACCTCCCCCACGTCCCATCCAGCATCCAGGGTCTGGCTTGTGAAAGCCACAGCTGCAGCCGAGCAACACACTCTGCCGTTTTCACACCTGGTTCTCTTGCTCTCTCTCTGTCTCTTATTACGGGGGGCCAGCTTCAACACCTCATGATCCCTGCCGAGCACGCGACGGTGAAATGGCGAAATGAAATTCGGGGACCACCATGGGTGCCCGGGCTTGTGAGGGAGGCAATGACTTATTTTTTTGTTTAGAAAATGCTTGCCGACTCTGGCTCCACCTTTCCGAAATGCCACGAGAGAGAGCACGGGCTCTGTATCATGGCGCCACAAGGGTAGGTGGGTAGTTTGTTTCTTATCTCTTCGCCGTCCCGCTGTTTTGATTTTTTCCTCTGGCCGGTTCGGAGTATGTACACCGCAGATTTCCAGGCCAGCACACAAACCTGCTTTGGGGGGCTTTTCTCACAGCAGACGAAGGCGCCGTCGTGCTGCTTGAGCTGCAGGATGGGCCACGAATTGGGCTTGGGGAGACTTGGCAGCTCAAATCAGAACAGCAACCCCGCTGTCAATGTGCAGGACTGCCAAGAGTGGAGAGGGCCGTCTTGCGAGGAGTACACAAGCAGGAGATCTGCTGGAGTGATAGTCACCAGCCACCAGACGGCAAGGTAATGGGTGTGTCGAGTGTGCATATCGCAAAAGTGACGCGCCTCTCAGGTTTGACGATTTAGCGAACTGGCCTGGGTTCCCTGGAGATGGGATGGGATGGCGGCCGGAGAGATAGGCACTCACTGCACTGTCTGCTGCTGCCGGACCCCATCCATGTCCGCCATCTCACCACCCACCCGTCAGGTTCGCCAACCTGCCGGCCCTCGCATGTCGGCCTTGCGTGCATATTATTATTAGTCTAGACCCATCCCCGGCTAGGTGCTCCACGACCAAAAGCGGGCTCTCTTCTTGCCCTCGCTTTTGTTTCCAACAAGTCCACCGGTTTCTCTGAAACTAGAGCTACAACTACAACAGCAAACTATCACTAGTACCGTGCCAGGCAACCTCAGCATCGAATCTTTGCCAGCACTCACTCCACTACGGCCACTTCCAAACTACTACCACCGAGGTCGAACCACCCACATGTTACCGCGAACGCTTCCTCAATAACAGCAGCTTTGTGTATGCACCAACCCGAGAGGCCCTGTTATTGCCGGCAGCGGAGCACTCTACCACGACGAACCAAACGTCGTCATAGCAGCAGTAACAGCACCACCCGTAAACACTGGACTCGAATATCCAGCGACGTTGACGACACAATCTGTAGGCTTCACTCGAAGCAGTTCGGGACCCATCATCATCATCATCATCATCATCATCATCATCCGGCGTCGCCAGAGGCCGTGGAGCATTCGAATCACCTTGTAGATTGACACCCGCCCTCCCCCGCTCGTCCCCTCCTCGGAGGATGACGGGCGTGGTGTTTCCGCCGCGCTGCCATCATGGTCCTCTACACGGATCCCCCGCCGCTGCGCCCGTTCAGCAATGACAAGCCGACCCTCCTGGTGTGCTGGTGGATCACCATGTTCTGCGCCGTCATCATCCTCTTGCGGGTGTGCGGCAGGCTCGTGCGGACAGAGAGGCTGTTCCGGGAAGATAAGATGGCAGCTCTGGCTCTGGTGCCGCTGTTTCTGCGAATGGGATGCGTCCATGTCATACTGCTCTTCGGAACCAATAACGTGCAGCTGGACAATGTCAGGCTTTCGGACGAGGGGCTGCGCAGGAGGGAGATCGCAAGCGGGTTGGTCTTGCTGAGTCGGGTGATGTACGCTGCAACGTAGGTGGTCCCTTCTGGTGGCGGCGGCTGTGGAATGTCTCTTATGCACGCCGTTTTTCTTTGAACGACGTGCCACGAGGTTTTTCCATGCCAAACAATTCCCGCGTTGTTCACTGGGGCCATGGAACTTTCCGCTGACCGTTTTGCAGATTGTGGGTACTGAAAAACGCCATCTTGGAGTTTTTTCGGCGCCTCAATGTGACATGGGAACGGTCGTATGAGCTTTCGTTGAGGTTCATCCGTGCTGTTCTCGTTGCAACGTTCATCGCCGTTGTGATCAGTGACCTGACGGAATGTCAGCCCTTTTCACACTACTGGCAAGTCCTCCCGGATCCTGGCGGGAGATGCCGTCAGGGGTATGCGCAGCTCTTGACAATGGCCGTCTGCAACGTGTTTACAGACTTGCTGTTGATCATCTGCCCTGTGCCCATCATCGTTCGGAGCACGATGAGCACCAAGAGAAAAGCCCAGCTTGTCATGCTCTTCTCCCTCAGCCTTGCGCCCATTGGAGTGACCATCTACCGGGTGCCACACATTATTAACGAACAGGGGAGTCAACAAAGCCGATCTCTCTACGCCTCGATCGAGCTTCTCTTTGCGACGGCTGCAGCCAACGCCCTCGTACTCGGGTCTTTTGTTCGGGACAGGGGCGTCAAGAAGAGGAAGTACAAGTACGACTCGGTTGCAGTAGCGTCCACCATTGACCGTTCATCCGCCTCCGAGTCGCGACGGCCAACCGTTTTGAAGCATTGGGGGAGTGACGAGGATTTGGTGCGGGATATGGGATACGCCGTCAAGCCCGAGCTCCGAGAATCACAGCCCACCGGAAACGAGAACCCAGTGTTCACGCCCGCGCCTATTGCGACCACCAAGCTGCACGAAGACATGACCTCTTGGCAGTTCCCGGGTGCCAACCGAGCCAGCGCAGCGCAAAGCGACGACCCATTGATTTCAAGCGACCCAGTCCCATCCGTCAGGAGTAATTCGACAGCAACCCGACGCGTGTCGTTTTTCGACTACGGCGGTCTTCTCGATGACGTAGGGCCCACGAGTCGACGAGGCAGTTATCTGTCTTCGAAGGACATTCCAGTTGGGCTAACGACAACTCACCCCTCACCAGCGGTGCAAGCAAGCGGCAACGGTCTCCGAAGGGGCTCGGCAGCCCTGCTGCAAGATCTCGGAGGATTCCTGAGTCCCCTAACCTCGATCCAACCAAAGGCGAAGCCGAAACCACCGAGTCTGGAGCCCATTGAGCAGTCGACCCAGGAGGGATCTAACGCTGCACCGGGATATTCCATGCCTTCGCCGGAGAAGGCAGGACCGGAGTTGCTGGATCCTGGGGGGTTGCTCAACGGCAACGGGGCCTGCACTGAGGACTTGAGCAGCGGCTTTGTTTGAGAACTATGATGTCTTTCGTACAAGGGTGCGATTTGTACACTACCTACCTACTGTCACCAGGGACTGGCGGGCCATCTGGGGACGACGAGCTTTACACCTATTACTAATTCGGCAAAGGGAAGGCGTTTTTTTTTGTTCTTGTTGTTTTCTCCGCTTATGGGCTGGGTAGGCTGTATGATAAGGGGAGAGAGAGGCGTTTGCAGGCGTCTATTGTTTATGAAAACGACATTTCGTTCTAATCCATACGAAATACCCGCAGTCACACACAAAACAACTAGCCGACCTACCACCACCACCACCACGACACACCATTCATCTTTTCCTCTCACAACAAATACGGCGGGAAAGAGGATATTCACGAGATAAACAAGAAGATGATGAAGCAACGACTAGGAACCAGAGGAGAGGGTGGTGGTATTTTTCTCTTTTGAAAGGAATGAACGAGCTTAGGGGTGGGGGGGACTGGGGAATGAATCGGATGGGATGGATGGAATTTGGAAGGGGAACGGGATGGATGGATGGATGGATTGAACTGTGATGACTAAATATTATACCCATTTCTTTGCATTTTTCTTGTCTTTTTTTTCTAATGAAGTGAGGGGCGGTTGGGCCGGGGAAGGGCGGGTTATGAAGTTAAAGATGAGAATATATGTATATACAAGATAATAATCTACTTTGCTGAAGTACAGATGATGAAGGGGGGATATGATTGAATGTTGTTTTATGTGGGTGCGATGGGATGTTTTGGGGCGGGGGGGGTTGGATGGATGTATGGGTGTTGATGCATAGGTACGCGAGGTGTTTGGGTCCCTGCATGTGGGAGAGACGATAGATGGATGGGGAAGGGTAGCTGTTGTGCGGCATGTGAAAGTGAGGAGAGGAGGGGTTAAGGGATTGGGTTGGGGGGAAGGTCATAGCGATGATAGCTGATGCAGCAGGACTGGAAGAGATGGGGTGCCAATGCTTGGGAAATCCAACGGCTGGTATTATGCGTTTCATTCTTGACTTGTCCTATGCGCGAGGATTATCATCCCAGCATGTCATAACAGGTGTTGCTTGTCATTTGCCACGGTAAGGTACTTTCCCAATACTATATACCCTATGTCCAGCTCGCCGCCCGCGCGACATGTGCTTTGCGGACGCTCAAAAAGCAGATCTCGAGCTTTTCACTTCGAGCGTGGGCTGACAGATTTCTGTCTCTGTGGGCGTTCCTACCTAACACTGGGGGACTCAGGGTAGCTAAGGTATGTATATGAATCGCACTGTCAGGTCGGTAGGTAGCTTTTTTTCGTTTCGCTCGGAGACGATTGGGTCGGTCGGACCGACTCTACCTTGCCTACTACGTGAGCCAAGTCACCGGGGAGTTTCACTTACGGGATCTGAAAGGGCTTGTGGGCGTAGTTTAACCTCTTTTTATCCTAATCTCACATGCAGGTAGATTGTATCGTATTGTTGTGACAAGAGATTTTCGCTGTCAACCTGGAAGTGTGGGTTGTGATATTGCATTGGGGTGTTTGTTTGTTAGGGTGGTGATGAGGGCGGTTGGGGGTATCATGATGGCGGTGGTAGTCACGCGACGACGTCAAGGTGGAAATCAACGACAGTGATATTGAGGGCGTTCATGTTGATAATGTGGATGTTTGCAGTTGTGGGAGTAGCAGAATACTTCTTGCGGAGGGGATGGATGAGGTGGAGGGGTCGTTAATGTACAAGAAAAAGAAGCGTATATACCTATGGACCGCAAACTTGGTGAATTGATCAACGTAGTAGCAATATTGGTCATATTCACAGCCCTATAAAACATTCAACTCGATTGGTTCTTAGGTGTTGGGAGGATTGTGCGACCCATTGCCTTTGGTCGTGAGCTCGAGCTGAGTCCATCTCTCGACGTGGTGCTCTCGGGGCTTTTGTCTATACCACCACCGAATAGCTCTCTGGCAATGCTTTGTAGGTCGTGACAGGCGATGTGATTTAAAAACACGAGGTTTAATGCTGTCGTCGTCTGGTAGGACCAATCAGAGGTTGTGTTACGTTGCCACGTGTTTTGCCCGAAGCAAAAGGGTACGATACAGAGGAGCCAGTGGTCTGAAGAGAGGGAATCCATGTGTGTCATCTATAAGACCGATGGGCCGAACAGCTGCTGAATCATTCATGGATCACAAATCGACATCGACACCATCGTATCTTTGTTGCTCGAATACGAGCTCATGATCAGCATCATCGGGATAATAGCGTCACCGCCTCGGAACCCAGCGGCTGCCTTGTGTGAGCTGGTTTTCCTGTGTAACGAGGTGTATGGTCGCCGTTGTGAAGGCCGGCGGCGTCTTGAACGGCTGGGACGATAACTTCTGGCAAGTGGGTCAGGCCAATCAATTTTCTACATGGCCAAAAGGTGACGAAGCGGTTCAGCTGAAGAAAGAACGCAACTGGCAGGTGCTTTCCCGTCGGTGTGAAATTCCGACTGCCATGTCTACTACGCCAATGAGTTGAGGCAGGAGCATTAGCCTGTCATGTAGCTGCCAACGGGGAGGAACACCGCAAGACATGACGATCTGCTCTTGCCGATCTCGACCACTTCAATGTTCTTGCCTAAGCCCAGAGAATCAGTGGCTACCCAAAGACCCGACAATCAGAAACATGCTTCGTATTCCTTTCCTGTTCCTCAATATACCTCCTTTGCATCTGCCACATCTTCAGATCTTTTGATTTTCTAGTTTCACCAGCATCTCGCTGCCCTAATTGCATTTTTACCTTTGGATCCTATCGACCATACTACCTCTTGTGACTCTTTAATATCGTTCAGGTTTCATCGCTCCTACCTCATATATTTATTGCTCTTCGGCCTGGGTGGTGTCATCGAACCACTTCAGCCCGTAAAAAAAGCTTCGTTCTCTCCCTTGGATTTACTTCCTACACCATCTGAAGGTTACCTCTGCTATCACGCTTTTTGGACTTTTGGACTCGCACTCTTTTGGAGCATTTTGGTCCTCGTGAAATCTAGCTCCTACCTCATCGTCTTGTCTCTCTGGTACCGGTAGTCTTGCTCCATCATGCGGAAAGCTCTTGGACTGGCAGCACTCGCTGCTTCACTCACACCTGTCTTGGGTGCCGTATTTGGTTACAACTCTGGCGCCCAAAAGCCAGGAGGCGTAAAGAACCAGGCCGACTACGAAAATGAGTTCCGGGCCGCCAAAGCACTTCAGGGTGCCCCTGCTGGCGGGTTTATCAGCGTTCGTCTGTTCACCATGCTTGTATGTGTTTGTCCTATGTTTGCATGACTGACTACTTTGGACAAAACTAACAGCGTGCCCAATAGCAAGACGAAAACGCTGGAAACAACCCCATCGAAGCTATCCCCGCTGCCATCGCCACCAACATGAGATTGCTGCTCGGTATGTGGGCCTCCGCTGGATCAGCCAAGTTTGATAGAGAACTCGAGGCTCTGGTGACCGCCGTCAACCGTTATGGCGATGCATTTGTGAGGCTTGTTGACGGCATCTCAGTGGGCAGTGAGGATTTGTACCGGAACTCGGCCTCGGTGGAGGAAGGTTCAAATCCGGGTGCCAACCCTCAGGTAATTGTCAGCTACATCCAAAAGGTTCGACAACGGCTGAGCAGCACGAAGCTGAAGGCCCCCATCGGACACGTCGATACGTGGACGGCTTGGGTAAACGGCTCCAATGCAGCAGTGGTTGCTGCTTGTGACTGGGTCGGCATGGACGCTTATCCATACTGGCAATCGACGGCGCTTCCCAACAACGCTATCGAGCAGAGCCCACGCCTCTTCCAAGAAGCTTTGGACAAGACCCGAGCAACTTCGCAAGGCAAGCCGGTATGGATCACCGAAACTGGGCATCCCGTGTCCGGTAGAACCTGGGGACAGTCTGTCGCCTCGGTCGAGAATGCCAAACGATATTGGAACGAGGTCGGCTGCCCAAGGTTCGGAAAAGAGCCCATCTGGTGGTACAAGTTCCAGGGCGACCAGACTGGTGCTGAACCCAACTTTGGCATCACTCCGGCTGGGCAGCTGACGACCAAGCCACTTTTTGATATTTCGTGCAAGCCGCCTGGCTCATCGTGAGTCCAGGCCTTGCTCCGTGTTGATTCTAACATTGTTCAGGATGCTCACACTTTGACAGAAGCCCAGTTCCGATGCCTGTGACTACAGGCCATGCTGGAGCTGGCGGACCTCCCACGGAGTCTTCTTCAAGTGCAGCTACCTCGAGCGGAGTTGGAAACAGCCCTGCAAGTGATGTCTCCAGTCCACCATTGTCCACGACTTCTGCTTTGCCAATTCTCTCGAGTGCAGCTACCTCGAGCGGTATCAGAAACAGCCCTAGAAGTGGTGTCTCTGGTTCGACAATTCTCTCGAGCGCAGGTACCTCGACCGGCGTTAGAAACAACCCTAGAAGTGGTGTCTCCTCGACGACCTCTACTTCGACAATTCTCTTGAATAGCACCGTGTCCTCAACGTCGTCCAGTCCCGCCACGAACACCAATGGAGCAGATGTGACGACTGGCTCTTTCGGTGGTGTTTTCGCTGCCTTGCTGGCTGTGGTGTTTGCCGTTTGATCTGTTCCGCCGGCTGATGTCGCTTGTGGAAAACTGAGTCTGTATATAAAGCGATAATTTTGGAGGCCGGATGTTTCTTAGGATGTACAGGATTCGGACTACTTACTGTAAGGATTGTGACTAGGTGAAAACGGTGTTGGCTCGGGGGACGAGGGTCGCTGTTGCACAATGTTGTATTGTTTGTTTTTACCGTTAGCTTGACTCGGGTCACTCTGATGAATGGTTCGACACATGGTTATCCTTGATGTTGACCCGAGTACCCCTTACACGCTGTCTGAGAATGAGACCACTGGGACAGTATATTGTTGGCGATAGATTTGATTTTGACCTTGCACTCCCGAGACTCTTTGCTGTCCAACATGAAGATGGGGCCCGGAACCGGAGCGTCCCACCATCCACGTGTAGTCCGAACAACCAAACCCCCCAACGGGAGACGTTGAGTTTAGGTTTCCCCATCTTCCCCTCAAGCTGATGAGCGGGTGGGTGTCTGGAGTTTCGTTTGTCATGAATCAAACCGACCTGCCTAAATGGGATGAGGGGAGGTTCAGCCCTACGAGTAACGCTGGATCCCCGGATTTCGGTGCTCCGAGGGCCCATGCTTGTGGCGCTAAAATTAGGTGGGAGCAAGGTTGCTGGTTCCCGGTCCGTGGTGTCCGCTAAATTCCACTTGGGTGGTGGAGGATCCACAATCTGTCAGCGCCCAGTCCCACCCAGTCGCGTGAACACGCAGCAGAGAGAGCTGTGCCCCTTTTTCTTCTTTTAAAACACCACGTCTCCCTTTCTGTGAAGAGATTTTGGTGATCCACAACACGCGTCGCCATATTTTGAAAGGGAGATATCATAAAAAAAAAGATGGGGTTGCGGATATTGAGGAGCCGTGCGCTTCTTGTGCTGTGCGCTGTTGCGCTGGTGCTGTTTGCGGGATCTGCTTGGGGGCATGCTGGGGGGAAGTGTGGCGCTGGAGGGCATGGAAGCCGGATGGTGGTTCCGAGGACGGCGGAGGAGGTGGCCGATGTGTCGATGTTGAGTTTGGGGGAGGTTGGGGAGGAGCTGCAGGTTCGTTTTGCCTCGATTACATTCTCCCTTCCTTTTCTCTTAGCCCGGATTGGAATCGCTAACTGGCATCTGTAATGGAACAGAAATGCGAAATCGTCCAAAAGCTATCCAACCTCAAAAAGGCCGACGCCGACGCCGCCCCCTCGAGCCTGACGACCAAGATTTTCGGGTATCTGTTTCCTGGTAGTCCTGCGGTCAATGCCCTGTTGGCGACGCTGTATATTTCCGGCCCGCCGAACTTCTTGCTGGCCCTCTGCCCGACGGATATTAATCCGGATTCGCTGCAGGTGATGGTTGCGTTTGCGGTTGGGGGGTTGCTGGGGGATACGCTGTTTCATTTGCTGCCTGAGATTTTTGTCGGGGAGGGGGAGGAGGACAGGGCGAGGTTTGTGATGGTGGAGCCGAACAGGAACTTGCTGCTCGGGGTGGGGATCTTGGTTGGGTTTATGGTCTTTGTGGGGATGGACAAGGGGTTGAGGATTGCTACGGGGGGCAAGGGGCATTCGCATGATCATTCGCATGGGCATAAGCATGGGGAGGATGATACCAAGGGGGTGAGTTCGGCGGTGGTGGAGGAGGAGGAGGAGAAGAAGAAGAAGGGGGAGTTGAAGAGACGGAAGGGAGGGAAGGATGATGGGGAGGGGGAAAAGGAAGAGGAGGAGAAGAAGGAGGTTAATCCCAGTGTCAAATTGGGTGGGTTGTTGAATATGATGTAAGTTTTGGTGTGGGTGGTTATAAGGTGAGGAGGGTGTGCTAATATGGGGACTGTGCCAATTTTACACCC